TTTCGACATTCCCTCTTTCGACAAAAAAACCCTCTTCGCCACACAACATGTCGAAGTGAAGAACTCACGAGTCGTATGCACAAAAGAGACAAACAGGGGTGAAGACAGGACAAGCGTTGGTGAGTTCTCTTTTTCGACATTCGGGCAAGAATTCGACATCCCATTCGAGGACTGTCAAAAATGTCCAAATTGCAGGCTGGGAAACGATCCCTTCTCGAGAGGAGGTGTCGAAACCCTTTCCTTGACAGCTCCTGAATTTTTTTTGCATCTGGGATTTTTACATGCTGTGTGGCGAGGAGAATTTTCGACATTGGTGTGGCGAGGCCCTTACTCACCGAACTTATCAATGCAAAATGTGTCAGACGGCTTGCCACACCATCGACACAAGTTGTGGAGAGTCTATTCGGTTTCCCTGCCTATGCACAATGATTTGCGGAGGGTGGTCCTCAAACTTCTCCACAAAACAACTTTTTGGAGAGTGCAGGGGTTCACAAGTCGACATCAGGCAGACAAAAAATTTTGACTTTTCTGTAGAAGAAATCTAATGGCGGGTAAGTGCAACCAGGCCTCGAGTTCGACACAATTCTCATATTTTTCACTCTCCACGCATCCGCCACGAAATGTGACGGATGGCGAGTAGTGCAACTAGGCCCACACTCTGGGAGCACGGTTCCACTAGCAAAGGAGTAAGGTAAACTGTGTCCCACAAATACCTGTGGGACATTTACGGGACATCGTCCGACCACTGATGCAGGAGAATCCGATGACAGCGAATTGCGATGGATTTATATTATGAAGTGGTGTTTTTTTTTGTTTTTTTTTTTTTTTTGCTTTTCTTTTCAGTTCCGAACACTGCCAGGCGGGAAAACAAAATAGAAAGACTTATTTTGATTAGCAGCTCTTCAAAAGATTTGAAAAAATCAGGTACTCGAAGGGCATGTTTTTTACCCCCTTCTTTTTCTCGGTCAACCGTAACCCCTTTCAGGACTTTACTTTTCTTTTAAAATATACATGCTTCGGCATGGCAACCGTCAAAGAAGGGACTTTTCCCCATCAGGCACACGAAGGGACTCCCTTGCGGTGGTACGCGAAACTGCAACAGTCACGTACCACTCTGTCCTTATTAGGCATCATTTGGAGGGGGAGGAGAAGGAGGAGACGGGAGGGTTAGTGGGACAGCAGCACTTTCAAAAGTCGGCCTCCTTCCCATGTTGGGAAATGTACGTCGCCATTTTCTCTTTTTGAAGTCTTAAAATTACTTTTCTTCCTTTTCTTACAGTACCGCACAGGTCCAAATAGGCCATGACTCGTGTGCTAGTAGAACCGTGCCCCGGGGGAGAACACTGGCTACACTATTATCAACATGCACAAAAGACAAGAAATTTGACAATGTATCTTTCCATGGTCTAGCGGAGCACTCAGTCCGATTTTGCACATTCGGAGAGAGTAGTGAAGAGACGCCCGTTGTTCTTCAATTCTAGACCGTAGATTGCAAGGATCAGTGGCCAGAAATATAGAATGGGGAAAAGGAGACCGTGGTCAGACCAAAAGGAGACTGTGGCCCCACGCGGTCTGACCACGGGTCAAGTGAGACGACTCGGAAAAGACAAAACTCCACTCCTACCGTCCTAACATTAATTATTACTCGTCGTTTCTTCGTTTTCTTTGTTTTCTTGCCCCTTTCTAGTTGTGAGGAGTTGCTCCTGCTGAGAACCTGGCCCAGAGTCCGTACATTATAGAGGCCCTGTGGCGCAACAGCTGACGATTGTGGAGGGCCCACCAGGTGTGGTGCTCCGCCTGGGATAGAGATGGAGATGGAGAAAGAAGGGGGAGCGAGATGGCACAGCGCGGCTCCCACACTAGACTCCAACGCACGTGCTCCAAAATGTGCAAATGTAGCATGATCTCACTAACAGACAACGGCTGGGGTATACCCAAGCGGACTGACTTGACTGGACTGGACTGGCTCGTACCGACAGAGGTACCGGCCTGGACTGGACTACCCCGAATACAACACAGGCTTGTGAAAACAGGCCAAGGGGCTGGTCTCACAGGCCAACCAGAGATCCGCTATACGGTCCTCGGACTGTGATGGATCACCTAGATACAAGCACGCTTCCGCCAAGAAGCAGAACTTTAGCAAAGAAAAAGAAAACCCGAGTAGTCTAGGATGCGGAGCAAGCTCCATGCTGAGTCCATGCGATGCAACCTAGGATAGGAAATGTCACAAAAACAACAATGTCACATCTAATAGCCTTAGTGAAAGCAGAAGCCACTAACTAGGATACATGTCATAGGAAAGCAAAAAGTAATGACAATTAGATCCTAGAATGTTGGAGGCAGTAACCTAAGTCTGGAAACAGCTGACTAGTGTATAAGTCCTAAGAACAACAAAAGCAGAACAACTAAATCCTATAAATGTCAGAGGCGGTAGCCTCAGTCTGAGAGCAGCAAAGCAGCAACAAGACAACCATATGTCACAGGAGGAGTGTGTCGCAAACCAAAAGGTGGGATGGTCTTTGAGGGTGGTGAATGCAGCCTAGGGGTCGATAACTCCTAAGGGCATTCACACAAAATGACAGGGAGCCATATGTCATCAGGCTCAATGAGGGCAGGGAACTGGGAGCGAACAAAACCAATGACCCAAACAGATAGACCATCAGGGAGAGTAATGCTCGACTAAAGGGGTGACCACTATGGAGGGTCGACCATGCAAGGGAACAAGGGAGCCTGGTATACTGCGCGCACCTAAATGAAGCATGTGAGGCTGCCTCACTAGGGCGTGAGGGCCGGCAGAGGGTAGAAAAAGTGATGGGTATGGGAATCATGGAAATGACTCCTAAGATGGAAGAAGTCGGAGTTGGATCCGTAAGCTGGGAAGCCAGGGCAACGCTACGGTCCCGATGCCTATGCGTATACCAAGGGAGAGCCCAACTCAGAGGAACCCGGCGAATGGAGACTATCATGTGACACAACCAAGGTACTGTACAGGGTAAGGTGGTAAGAGAGTGATGACGTCTTAAGTAGGCAGAGCTGATCGTGATGAAGTCCATGAAGTTGTCGATGATGTCCATGAATGTCGTCCAGGAAGAGCCGCAACGTCGACGAGCTGAAGTGGCAAAAGTGAAGTGGATGGAGTACTGAGAAGTCAAAGATGTGGGAAGATCAGTCAGAGTCAATCATCGTATCGAGCAGGACGACGACGAGTGCGATGTGGACGCTCAGAAGCATCCGGCTTCTGCTGAAGGTATGCCTCGGATGGAGCAGGTTCGACTTCAGCGGTCTCCTAAGCCGAGGGAGAAGGAGGAGGGTCAGTGGGCTAAGGAGGAGCAGTTAACCCACCACGACGAGCACGGTCATAGGCACGCACCAACATGCGAGCGTGCTGCAAGTGCTCGAGGGGCTCCCAAGTAGCCTCCTCATCAGGGTTACCCTTCCAACGTACGAGATACTCGATATGGGGAGGGTTGTCATCGGTGACTCGGCGACCAATCATGTCTGAAACGAGGAACTCCTCGTGGCCGTCCACCATGATGGGTGGAGGGCACTCGTATGGTCGTCCAGCGAAACGTTTAGACGGTCTACGGTAGGGACGCAGTAACGAGACATGATAAACATCGTGCACACGAGCTTGGCGTAGGTAGTCGAGCAGCTTTACACGAAAGTTGACCGGTGTCGAGCGCATTGGTCCCGCACGGGGACCCTTTCGGCCATGTCAAGCAAGATTTTGCGGGACTTGTCGCGGAGAGCATTTCCCGCTCCGACCGAGTGCGCCAGCCRTACCTCTCGCGAACCCCTATGACAGGATAAGGTCACGCGAGGCACCGCTTACCCCCATCTGCGGAAGTTGTCACCATCGCTTAGGTGGGCGTATCCCGAATATAAGTCTATGAGAGATATTATGGCTCTCCCAGCGCAGGCCTCTGAAAGCGCATCAGCGTTGGGGAGGCCACCTACGTCTCTCACCGTTACTGCGTTGAAGCGTTGCAAATCCTGTACCCACCTCAGAGTCCCATTGGGTTTGACAAAGCAAAATCAAGGGGATGCATGCGGTCCACTCGAGTAGTCTACCACATGTGTGCGAATCTTCCCATCAAGGTATGTGACTACCTTTTCTTCATCAGCTGGATTAGGATACCGCGCACCTCGCAAGTTCCATGGCTCGTGAGGTACGGTGTGTATCCTTATCATCGGGATTATATCCACGTCCAGACGACCTCTCTCATCATCACTAAAGGCATATGCAGCGTGCCGTCCTCTTATGGTTTCCACCATAAGCTTTTCTTCATGCGCTGTAAGGAAGCCAGCCTCCCGTATAATCAGCGCTTTCTCTGTCTCAGGAGTGATACGGCACGACTTATTCTCCGCGTTGTCTCGCATCTGCCATATCAACTCTCATTCCCGCTCGTAGTAAACCTCCTGCTCTTCTGCAACGAGCACGGGAACAGGGCGACACTTCTGATCTACCCTTTTGTACCGTCTTTGTGCCCCCTGCTTGAGCCCACCCCTAAAAAAGGTCGAGTTGCGCTTTGGGGCTGTGCTCCAATTGCTCCACCTATCCTTCCCGACGTTCGATATACCAATTTCATTTCCCCTTCTCTCATTTGTTCCACCACCTTCTCTCTCAAGGCTTCCACAGCCTCTGGGTCCGCCATCCCATAGGTCGACACTATGTCCATAGCATCGCCTATACTCGCTAGGCTAAAGGTCAGTGCCTCTGGCCCTCTTTCCTCTTCAAACTTACTGCTTTTCAGTCTCAACCTCTCTTCTTCTGGTTCTTTTATGGTGAAAGAACCGGGGTTGGGCCGGTTTCTTATACTCCTAGGTCTTGTGTTCTTGCAAATGATAATCTCATAATTTCCGCATACTGGATCGAACAGGACGAGGAACATAGTCCCGCCATGCTTGTTGAGTATGACGGTCTCTGTTCGACTTAAGAATGACCTACCAAGTAGAATAGGGTGATCAAGATCAGGCAACACGAAAAAACAACTCCTTACTTTCACTTTCCCGATTTCGAGGATCACCGATGATGCGGTCCCTATGAAAACCGACCGACTATTTGCCCCCATCAAGACCCCATTGTCAGAGCGATCTATCTTCATTCCTAAGCGCACAGCATGCTCCTCCTTAATGAGGTTCATCTCCGCGCCACTGTCCACCATTGTCGTGCATGTCTTTCCCTTCACCACTACATCAAGGCAACCACATGCGACAGACTAACAATCCAGCTTTGTACCAACCTCTGCCCATTCTGCCTCTTTAGGGATTATGGTCCCTAATCGCACACTGGCCACCATTTTCCACAAGCGGTTATCGGGTAGCTGAAAATTCAGGAATGAAAATTCTGAAGTGAGAGTTTTAGGCAGTCTGTATATCCTGAATGGTCCTGAAGTGGTGAAAGGTCCGAAGACCCTGAAAACCACCTGTTTAGGCAGGCTGCATCCTGAAGTGGTGAAGGGTGTCCTGAAGTGGTCAAGTGACAATTTTGGGCAGTCCGATAGGCCTGAATGGTCCTGAAGTGGTGAAAGGTCCGAAGACCATGAAAACCACCCTTCACCACTTGAGGATGCCGCCTGCCTAAACAGATGGTTTTCAGGGTCTTCGGAGCTTTCACCACTTCAGGACCATTAAGGATTTTTAGACCTGAATAGTCCTGAAGTGGTGAAAGGTCCGAAGACCCTAAAAACCACCTGTTTAGGCAGGCTGCATCCTGAAGTGGTGAAGGGTGTCCTGAAGTGGTGATGAAAAATAAGACTGTTGTTAACCTTTTCTCCCATTTTCCTAGATAACCGTGTTTTTAGCTCATCCCTTAGCCTTGGCGCCGAAGCCATGACGTCCTTTAGGTTCATAAGATGATTATGGCCCTCAAGGATCCTATCCATTATCTCCTCCACGTCAAATCCTTCCTCCACTCGAACAACATACTTTTTTTTCTTTACTTCTGAGGCTTTATCCGTATCAGGTTTGGCATCTCTATTTTTGGCCCTTTGCTCAGCCTTCTCGTCCTYTTCTTTTCTCAATCTGTCGTCCTCATCCTCCTCTTCCCCTGGAACGTCTATAACCTTTTTCTCCCCACTAGGCTCAGGAACATCCTTTGTCGGTTCCTCAGGGCTCACCGAAACTTGGCCCTTGTCCTCACAGCATGCGGTACTCTCCTCGATCTGGAGGGTGGCCTGTGGGTCTGAATTAGGGCCTTATCCATACGCACCTTTCGTGTTGGCCTACGCCTTCYATTTGGGACGACTATCTGCAGTTGTTTCCTCCTTTGAGTTTCCATGGTTGGACGTTGTGGTATGTGGTAGCTGTCAAAGTCAAACCCCTTGATTTTTGGCTACCACGACAGCCCTGAAGCTGTCTACTCAACCCCTCTGTACAGGGTGCAGAAGTAGGTGTGGTCTTCAACCGCACATGGCGGTTGTCTAGCGCCAGAGGGTAACTCCTCAACGCGCTTGTCAGCCGACACTTGAGTGTCGAACACGACCCTCGAGGTTATCAAGGGTCGAGAGGTTACGAGTACTATGTAGTACCCCATCAGCGTGAATGCTTGCGTATGGTTGGTCAATATGAGGAGGTCATGCGCTCGCACAACTCTTATACGAAAATCCGGCGCACGATACCTATCTGATTCTCGCGACATAAAATTATGGGTCGGATACTGAAGGGACTAGGAGTGTTGTTGGGTTGTGGTGTTGTTTATGGTGTTTGTTTTGTGTGTTTCCATGTGTTGTGTGTGGGTAGATGTGAGTGTTGTGGTGTAACGCGTGGATGCATCCTAGTGGACCGACGTCGAGTCGCGTTTGGGACCTCAGCCCTCCAATGTGTCGATTCACGTGCGGGTTCGGTTTTTGGGCGTTCGACCGCGCGTAACCCCTATGCTACAGCGAACAAGAAACGTCCTCAGCAGGGCCACCTCTGCAATTGCATACAAAAAACTTCGCATGTGGTTCAGTAGCTTGGCGGGGATACGGCCACCTAAGGGATGGTGACAACTCCCGCACGTGGAGGTAAGTGGTGCCTCGCGTGACCCTATCCTGTCGTAGGGGCTCGCGAGAGGTACTGCTGGCGCACTCGGCCGGAGCGGCAAACGCTCTCCGCGACAAGTCCTGCAAAATCCTGCGTAACACGGCCGGGAGGGTCCCCGTGCGGGACCGATGCGCTCGACACCGGGCTAGAAGTCGTATCGGAACCGACGGCCTGGAAAATGCGGCATGCGCCAAAGAAGCGACACCGAAACTTGCGAAGCATGTCCGCTTCGAGCTGTAAGTGGCCGACGTCGATAAGCACATCATCACCGACCTTGAATAAATGATCCATCCTCGATCAGTTCGCACGTGCTGCCATGCGAGTCTGGGAAGTGGCTACGTGCTCATGCACGGTCTTCATGATCGACGTCATGTGTGCAACCCAATCATCCAGCCCGGGACAACTCGTGTCGGGGTGCATCTGTGACGGTCGAAGGAAGTCCCCGGGAACACGAGGGTGATAGTCGAGGTCGCAATAGTAAGGCGACATCCTAGTGGTTGGCGAGACGGCATGGTTGTAGCCTATCTCTACGTGGGCAAGATGGAGACCTCACTGCTAGTCGTCACAAACAATCTTTCGGAGAATATCTCCGAGAGTCTTGTTCGTGACCTCGGTCCGATCATCAGTTTGGGGATGGTAAGACGAGGAGAAGCGGAGCTGGGTGTCGTAAACCTCGTAGAGCCGTTGCCAAAAACGGCGAGTAAAGCGCCGGTTACGGTGAGATATGATGCTCAAAGGCAAGTCGTGGTCATGCACGACTTGGTCAAACACGATGTCGGCGACCTCACGTGCACTGATGGCATAGTGACACGGAACAAAGCGTGCACGGTTCGTGAAGCGGTCGACGACGACCAGGATAGCATCATGACTGCGGGGGGTCGGAGGATGAAGAGGACCGATAAAGTCCATCGAGATGGACTGCCAACGACCCTCAGGGATAGGAAGAGGTTGGAGCAAACCATAATGCAGGTGGTTCGCATTGTTCACCTCCTGACATGTGGGACACTCTGCAACGTAGTCCTTCACAAAGTCCTTGAGCTTCGGCCAGACGTATAGGCGGCTCACATGAGCCAACGTCTTGTGGAACCCCATATGAACGGCGGCTGCCTGGTCATGGAACTCTGCTACTGCCCGGACACGTAGCTGTCAAGTGGAGGGAATGCACATACGGGGCTCTCTGGTGCCCTGTGAACCGTGTCAGTACACAAGACCCTTGCCCCCGAGAGAGTAGTTAAGGACAGTCTTGCCACTCCGAAGGGTCGCATGGATGTCGCGATAGTTGGGGCAGTGGCGGTACTGAGTTCAAAACTCGTCGATCACCGAGTGATGGACGGTGGTGACCGAGATGGCAGCGAGATGGATCTGCTCCTGATCATGGTCAAGGCGCCGGGATAAGGCATCTGCGACCCGATTAATCTCACCCTTGATGTGCTCAGTGGTAAGCCTAAGCTCGGATAGGTCGCGCCACCAGCGAGCCTGTCGAGGAGTGAGCTTCGGTTTTCTCAGAAAAGCCTGGACAACAGAGTTGTCCATGCGCACCATGAACGGTGCCCCACGCAGGTAATGACGCCGGTGCCGAGCGACATAAACTACTGTGAGAATCTCACGTTCATCAGTGGCGTAGTTTATCTCGGCGGGTAGGGGCTGACGGGAGTAGAAGGCTATCAGACAATCACCTGAGCGATACTTGACAGTGTCGTCCTCGGTGATGGTAGGAGAATAGTTAATAGAAGGCTCGTCAGTAGCTGGACGAGTAGGCGTCAGGCGGGAAGCGGTGGTAGAGGTAGAGGGTGGGAAGCGAGGGATACGAGGATGAGAGGAATTGGGAGAGGAGAGGGAAATATGAGAAAGAACTGCTCCTACAACAAAGTCTGACGCATCAGTGGTAAGGATAAAAGGGCGATCAAAATTGGGTTGTGTATCTTTTTAACGGAAAACGTGAAAAATTGAGCATGCGTTCATCCGTTTAACGGGCCCCCGACCCCCGTTAAATCGCGTTAAACGCAAAAACGGGGGTGTCGCGTCGAATTCCGAAAAACGGAATTCGTGCATTGGGCTTCGGACACTTGTGCCTACGTGCCCAAACACTAAAACCAGGAAAAAAAAATAAAAAAATTTGGCCGCCATACCCCCCCCCCACATTCCCCCGAGGGCCGCAATTTCCCCAAAAACGACGCTTTCACCCCAAACACACCTCCGACCTCCAAAGCTGCACACCCACCACCGCTCACCCCCGACCCCTACTACCCGGCCAC